CTCTCTCTGTGTCCCTGTCTCTGTCTCTGTCTCTCCCCTCTGCCCCCACATATGGGATTTTGTGAGTGCTCCTGGCAAGCGGATTTTGTTCATTTATTTTTCATGAGTTCCGTTGTTGGTTATCTGTCTGAATGACTGTCCCTCCCAAGGAAGATAAGACAGCCCTGGCGATTTTGTAATCAGTCCCGTGTAGCGTGAGCTCTGGCAGGTAACAGCCCCTGAGGAGCCATCGGGCTGCAGGTGAGCAGTGAGCAGCCCCTGAGGCCTCAGCCACTCCGCAGCATGACTGACAGCACAGGCCGGTCACCACAGCTCAGCACCCACAACGCCTGCTCTGCCCCTCTCCTCCAGTCCCCTTGGGGCCAAAGACCCCTCAAGGGGTGCTCAGAAGGGCATTTCAACTGAGTGCCTATGACCACAAAGGTTCTCCTTTCTGGCTAGAATCTCCTTCCCCTTCTGGGTGGAATTTTCCTTTGGAGAAACAGATGTAAGCCCCTGGTGGGGGGGGGCTGCCTTTCCACCCTCCGCCCTCGCATCTTTGGGGTGACCTTCACTTGCGCCCCGCCCTTTTCTGTCCTTGCCTCCACCTTCCTCACAACCCCCACCTTCCCCTTCCCAGCTCTTCTCTTCCTCAAACCCAATTCCGTTCCTCCATTCGTGCCGGACCGAAAAGAAAACTGGGCTTAAGAATTGCTTTTGACCATCGGTATTTCCTTCATTTGCCCTCAAATCTGTGGCACCGACCCTCCGCTGTGTGTCTCCCAGTTGACACGTGCTTACTTGGACCTTGCGTCTCCCTCCCAAGAAAGCACTTCATTCAACCTTAGAGAGCTAGCAGTTTACAACAGATTTTACTTTGACCCTAAAATTCCTTCCCTGCAGCCACCCCTGGCGGCTCTGACCGTCAGCACCTCCCAACCCCTCCACGTCCGCGGGGCCACACCTCAGTTCCCGGGATGTGCGTTTCTCCTGGTTGGAAGAGGGGCTAGAAGGATAATGAGAACCCCCACCCCTGAACGTATGCCGGCTGGCTCCTGGCCACAAAAGCAGCGCCAGATGTCTCTAGAAGCCCTTGACTCCCGTATCCCCAGCTCTCTCTGTGTGTACCAGCCTCATATTTATCCTCCCACCCTAGGCTAACTGGGGTCTCGCCAACAAAGCCCCAACCCCCCAGACTCCCCCTACGACACCATGACATGCTCACAGCTGAACTACCGTCTCGTCTTGCAGATCAAATCGAGATGAGATTAGAGACAGTTGGAGTAGAGAAGCAGAGCTGGTGGCGGGGGATGGCAGGCGGAGGGGGGATGGCAGGCAGAGGGGGGATGGCAGGTGGAGGGGGGATGGCAGGCGGAGGGGGGATGGCAGCTGGACCCAGATCTTCAGGTGGTTTGGGATGGAATTGATACCAGATCCACTCCCTGAGTTCTGGACAAGGGTTTTTTGTTTTCTGTCTCTTCAAGCAAGGCTTCTGTAGGAGGGTAGCCAGTAAAAGGTCCACACATTCCCGTGCTGTTGCTTTTGACTCGGTTCAGAGAGATGTGGAATTTCAGTGACCGATACATAACCGTTGTCTCAGCGGCAGCCACTGGGATTGGGCCCTTGTCCGAGGGCCTGTTTGGACTCAGCCTTCCCTGCAGGGAGGCAGGTCATCTGCACCTTTCCAAGCCAGCCTGGCCAGGAGACTCAGCCACGGCACACAGCTGCTCTTAAGTGCCCTCGAACCGCCGATCACGGAGAACATCCTAGAAGGTAGTCAGGATATCGAAATCTACCGCCTGGCCCTACCTCCCTGCTAACCCTCGCCTCCCAGCTATGCAAGAAGGGGGTCCGGGAAAGAGGAGAAGAAGGGAGAGGAAGCCGTCCCTTTTCTATGTGGTCAAGAGCGATTTCCAACAACCTCTCCGTTCTCCAGAGAGACAATGGGATGTAAACTGGGAAACGCCCACCGATTCTGGCGTCCGTCCATCCTGGAGAACCCTCTTTGCAGGCTCTGGTGCCCTTCAGTCCCCTCGGCTCCCACGGGTGGTCTAGAGAGAGCACCCCAGTGAAAAGGAACAGTGAGGACATTCCAGAAACAAAGGCTTCATCCACTTGAGGTGGTGTTTCTCGTCTGGTCCTGAACTTGGGTCGGAAGGGCAGTTTTCCAGAGCCACCCCAGGTCTTTGTCGGTTGAACCATACAAGGTGACCCACATACATGTGCCCAGGTGAGGGCAGGGTCTGTCCCTGCTGCTGGCCCGGGGCCTCTCTGACAGTGTCCCACCTCTGCCCCACATGGGGAGGAACAATCTCATTTCATTCCTACCAACTGCAAGAGCAAATTAAGTTAATTGCCCTGATACCCTAACCCCTTGAAAATGACCAGATCATTAGAAAACAAAGATCAGAATGGGCGGTTGAGAAATGGGCTGCATGCTCCCCGCTCGTGGACACGAGCTGGCGGCAGGCAGGGTGCAGGGCAGGTGATCCCCACTCCCCCGCACTGAAAAGGTAACTCGGGGTCACTGGGAGCAAGCCTGGGGAAGCATCCGAGGGGGGCAGCTCAAGCACTCGGGGCTCCCCATTAATCCTACACTTAGCTCAGAAGGTAGAAGTGACGCTCGGTGGTCCCTCAGGACGTTCTGGGGGATCACAGCGATCGGCAGACACACTCGCCCGTCTTCTGGCCGCCCGGGCATCTGGGGGTGACCTCGGGCAGCAGTGCGTCAGCCAGTGGTTCTCTGTGGGCAGGGCTGTGCGACGGGCCCCTTCCTGCACTCTCCTGTAGGAATCACCACTCCGGGTTGCCTTCCGGCTTTGTTACGATGCATAGTTACTTTCCAGCCCGTGGACCTTGTAAGCACAGGTCCTCACATGAGGACAGGCGCACATGAGTGGCTGACAGGTGACCCTGCCCCGCAAGTCAGAAGCAGCCTCTGAAGAGGAAGACTCAAGGCCCAAGAAAAAAACGAGCCCGTGAGTCTCCACATTCTCCCCAAGTGAGGCTTGTTGGACGCTGGGTTGGACGCCCATCCTTCCTCTCTCCACGGCCCTTCTCGTCTCCTGTCATAGGGATGGATCCTGAGGGTTACTGGGGAGTTCCCTGGCGGCCCAGTGGTTAGGACTCGGTGCTTTCACTGCCGAGGGCCCGGGTTCGATCCCTGGTCCGGGAACTAAGATCCCACAAGCTGCACAGCGTGGCCAAAAACAAAAGCGTTGCTGAATTAATACATAGTGTTAAAATGATACGATGTGCCCGAGGTGATTAGAACAGACCCAAAGGTAAATCTTGGAGTAAAATGTGACTTACAGAAATGAGTCTGAAACGGGAGCATAATAGGCTCAAAACAAGAAAACGACAGGTAAGACATTTAAAAAGCCCAAATGAAGGATTCTGAAGGTTTAAGCAGTAAAATAAGTAGTTTTAATTTTTTCACGGTTGGGGGTTAATTCGGTCGGGCCAGGTGACCCAGGCGGGTCCTCTAAAGCACCCCCATTCTGGTCCCATTCGGGAAGGGGTTGACCCAGAAGACCTTCAGTCATCTGCCCAGGGCTCTTGGAAGTAATGGGCACCTTCGGTGGTTTTCAGGGTGCATCCAAGGCTAGAGCCTGCTGGGCGCTCGGCCTAGAGCCCAGCACTGCCTGTGGACTCACCTCTGTGCGGACCTCACACCCCTCCCCCACTGAAGCCCGGGAGGCATGGGGCTCCTCACAGGTTAACACTGGGGCGCAAGCCCCTGACCAGCCTGGAACTTCCTCCATGCGTGCGTGTGCGTGCGTGTGCGTGTCTGTCTCCATGTTCTCTCAGCCTGCTGGCCAGATCCTAGACACCCCACCCTGTCCAGGCACGTGGGTGGACCTGGCAGCTGCAGCCCGTCGTGAAGCAGAGACAGATCTAGACTGTTCCATAAACAACCAGAGAGGCGTCCTGTCCCTTCTCGTCCTTTCCCTCACCCCGTGTCTCCCCCAGTCCCCGAAAAGGACACGTCCCAACTTGCAATGGGAACGAAAGGAATTTTCTGAGAAATCTGTTACCAGAGAAGTACTTTTCAGTCTGCAAGCGTCTGGTTGTGCACATTTCCGTCCTTGAAAAACCCCATTACATGTTCTCCTTGTTTATACCTTGAAAACAGAAACACAGGAGCAACTCTCTGAAAGTGGAGGGTGAGAGTGAAGTCGTGACCTTCTAGAAGCAGTTGGCAGCTCAGGCGGCGGGGACCAGTCCCGGCTGTGCTCTGTGTGCGGGGCTGCAGGGCAGGGCACCTTCCCGGATGCAGCTCGGGGCTGCTGTGGGATGCGCCCCTGAGGCCAGGCCCCTCGGCCCCTGCCCCCTAATGGGCCCAGAGTCAGACCCCTGAGAACAGCTTCTCGGGGTGTTAACTATAATGTCCTAAATTGTGTGCAGGGCTTTCAAATTTAATAAACAGATCCACACGCGTTTATCTCAGGCCGGTGTCCAGGGTCCACACCCGGAGATCAGGAGCCAGCAGGCCCTTCTCCCTGAGCCTCAGCTTGAGGGCTAGCCCCACCATAGAGGGGGTAACTGAACCTCAGTCTTCCCCTGGACCTGGGGGGCCACTGCCCCTGGTCTCCTTTGCTCAAATACACGTGGGCAAAGCGCAGCCTTGGGCACAGGCAAGGTCTCTCGCCTTCAGCGGGCAGTGCTGGGTAAGCGTGTGCAGTGTCAGCCCCTGGAGGCTACCTTAGGACACACAGCTGATTCAAAACAAACAAAACCTCCATCCTCAAAATCTGGAACACCTCCGTGATAACAGGTGTGAATTGGTAGTTAATCTGTAGCCAGAGATGGTTCCGGGCAGGAGAACACCCAGAGTCCTCGCTGGGTGGGAGTCCACTCTGGCAGCGCCCGGACCCTGCCAGGCCTGTGCTGTGTACCCTCCACTTGGCGCTGTTGCCCTCTCCTGCCACTGCGTTGCTCCTGTGTTACCAAGACCTAGAATGCCGGGCGTCTTTTTCGGAGACTCATTACAGCTCATCTCTGTCTGCCTTTCTTTAAAGCCAGCTGAACATACCCAATGCTCTCCCTTTATGGTAAGACCAAGCCTCCAGACCACGCTCTCAGCTTCTGTGACCCCCTCTAACATACCCACTTCCCCCACCCGACCCCCAGCATCTCGGAAGCCAGCCCCCGATGCATGTTGCCCGTGTCTGCCGTGCGCCTTGCCTGCCAAGTGCTGTTGGTGTGACATTTCCATCCTAGAGCTTTCCTGTGGGTGGCGGTTCACCATGACCTTGACTGTCTAATGAGCCACTGGGAGAGAATCGGACCCGAGGGACATTTCCTGTTAAACGTCCTGAGGACTCCGCTGGCTGACGTCCCCACCCTGAATCTGTCGTGGGGTTTGCACGGGGCACCCACGAGCGCCATGGCAAGGCCTCTGGGAAAGAGGAAGGAGAGGTGACATAGCCAGAGACGGGGAGGTCCTCCTAGTCACCAGGCTGTCCTCCAGCTCTGAGTCAAGGCCCCAGTAAGCAGTGAAGCTGGGTTCATTACCCAGAGAGTGGTTGGATTTCCTATCACCCCAACAGTTACCTGTGAGGGGCATGAAAACTAGGCCACGCCCGCTTCACTGCAGCAGACCGTCTGGTGGGAGCCGCTTCTGCTCTAGGAATCTTTGGCTAAAGTGATAGAGAGGCCGACCGGTGTGACCTTGAAGTCTCCTTGGAACAGCTGTCTCCAAGAGGCTGCTGTCACAGACTTCAAACGTGGGCCAAGTGTGGGTTTTTAGGAGGGCCGGTGAGTGGGTTGATTCCCCGAGTCCCAGAGGTCAGCAGACAGAGGCAAGATCGGTGGGGGATGTTTCCTGATGAAGCCCACGACCATAGCTGGAAGGGAGGAGCCTGGACGTGCTGCCCGTGTGTCACCGGTCAGTGGAGCGTAAGGCACCTGCGGCGTCTGGAGGGCTCTGAACGCAGGACGAGCTCAGACTGGAGGCTTGCGTTTTGCTTTTTAACGAGTCAGATGCAGATGGCTCTGCGGCGCCAACCTCCCAGACTCGGTGCCCAGCTGAGCTCTGTGTAAGCTGGCGCGCTCTTCTTCTGTCTCCCTTCCCGAGCACAGTGGGGCTGACAGCCGAGTTCCAAGGCCCTGAGCCTCCTCTGGGGAAGCACCACCTCCTTTGAAGGAGAGAAAGTAGAATTTCACGTAGGTACACGGGTGACAGAAATGCAGAGATGAAGGGCATCAAAGACTTCAAAATGCAGACAGGTAGGGCCCGGGGGCCAGACGGCCTGCTGCCGGGGCCCCCCCCAGCCCCTGCGGCCCCCAGCCACCAGCCCGCCCCGGGGGAGCAGCTCTGGCTCAGAAGAAGGATAGACGCAGCCCGCCCCGGGAGGAGCAGGGTGTGCTGGCGCATGTAAAACCCGGCCCCCTCAGGGGGCTCCTGCTCTGATCGGGGTGAGGGGAGCGGCCCCTGGAGCCCCGGTCACAGAGTCAGAACCAGGAGCCGCGAGGGCTCGGGCGCTGGTGGGATTTTCGTGGGCGTGGCCAGGACAGATCTGACCTGGAGACGGTCAGAAATGAAGCCAGAGGAGCGGGAGTTGAGAATCGGGGCCCACATGGGGCCCAGCAACTACCCGGACGGAGGTGCCTCCGAGCAGGGGGCCTGCAGCAGGAGCCGTAACAGGAAGCCCGAAGGTCCGTTCTCTCCCGGTGCCCACGGGGCTGGGGGCTGCACTGGCTCTGGGGAACCGGCCAGCTCCCGGGCACCACCCAGCTCTCTGGCCGGTGTGGGCAGGAGGGGGGTCGGGGGTCATTTTGTGCTGACTGTTCCCAGATCTGGAGAAGAGGGTGACGGGGCTGCGTGTCCGGCCCCCGACCCCCAGCCAGGCATGTGCCGGCCCCAGGCTCCCCCAGGCCCAGCAGCCCCGGGCCCGCTCCAGGACACCCCTGGGGAGCCCACCCGCCCCGAGCAGGACCCCTCGGTCCTCTCACGGCAGGGAGACCCGTCCAGGGCTCACGCTCCACTGCCTGGGCCTCCACCCCTCCCAGGCCTGTGCAGCCGGCGGGCCCAGGGCAGAAGGGAGCAGAGGGGCGGCAGGGGCTGCGGCCCGGGCCCATCCACAGCCGTGGGGGGAGGTGGCACACCGAGTGCTGAGGCTGGGCGGCCCCCGCCCCCCAGGACCTCCAGAGCGCCGGTGCCGCTCGGGACGCCGGACCCTCGGCTGAGCCAAGCAGGAGGGCAGCAGGGGCACCAGGGCGGCTCTTGGCCTAGATTTCAGAGCAGATGGAATTTCTAGGGAATCACCTGCCGCCCCCCCCCCCGGGGTGGGCTTAAGACCACGGATGCTGGGGCAGAGGCTTGGGGCCTGGGCACGGCCGGGCGCCGCAGAGGCCTGGGGCTGGGCCTACCCGTGGGCGCCGGGAGAGTCGAGTGCAGCCGGCCCCCGCCGCCCGCCTGCGTGTTAACTGCTGTGTTAACGGCCCCAGAACGCGGAGGAGAACTCCCGCATCTCCATCACCTTCTTCCGCCTCTTCCGGGTCATGCGTCTGGTCAAGCTGCTGAGCCGTGGGGAGGGCATCCGGACGCTGCTGTGGACGTTCATCAAGTCCTTCCAGGTACCCCCCAGCCCCCCTCCCAGGCCCCACCTGGGACGATGCTCCCAGCTGAGGGGAGGCCGCAAGCATGCTGCTTTCTTCTCTCTTTTGTGGATTTGCCCCGAGAATTGACTGCACAAAGGGATTTTGGGGGTGCAAGAGGTTTGAAAGCCATGGGCAGAGGTGGCCCGATGACCCCTCCCAATTCGGGTGTTGTCAGCCCGGGGCTGGCACCCTCGTCCCGGCAGTGGTTCAGCAGGGTCTGCTGTCCGCACCTGCTTAGGGGCTTAGCCGGACTCCCCGGGACCCCGGTGTGCCCCGTGTGGACCCAGGGCTGCCCACCGCGGGGCCAGTTCTCTGCCCCGAGCACTCGTTTCCTTCTGTGAAAGCAGAATGACGGTGGCCCCGGCCTCAGCCCTGGGTGACTGTACCGGGCCCACGTGCTCACCCACCCCCAACATTTCCTGGGCGCCACTGAAGGTGGAGCCCGAGCGCCCACCAGGCCGGACGGCCCGTGGTCCCGCGGTGCCACCTAGTGGTGTGCGGGCTCCATCCACCCCGTGAGCCGCGAGGCCCCCTCCCGGGGAGGTGGCGAGCACACCGAGCACACCGAGTGAGTAAATCGCAGAGGCCGGCCGCGGGCCAGGCCCTGCCCAAGCATCTTGCGAGCCTTAAATCAGCCAGGCCCCAAAACGCCGAGGTCGTTGCTTTTCTTCCCATTTTTCAGATGAGGACCCTGAGGCTCAGAGAGGTTAAGCCCAGCCCAGCTCCCACAGCTACAGTGGCGCAAACGGGCTTGAGCCCAGGGTCTCGCTTTTGTCTAGTGCCCCTTCGTCCTGCCTTTCCTACACCTTACGGCTGTGAGGTGGGGAGGGGCTGCTGGGTGTCCCCCACGGCCCTCCGGCTGCATGAGGACAGGTGGGTGGCGGGAGGGTGTTTTGCTCTTTCTAGATTGTTTGTGCCGAGGGAGCGCCATGCCAAGCCCCGAGCTCAGAGCCCACCTTTCTGGGCGGACCTCCCCAGGTCTCAGGTGCTTGACACCCAGGTGAGGGGAGGAGTCGGCACCAGGCTCAGGCTCCTCCCATTTAGTGCCCAGAACGTGTGCGGGGCTCCTGGAAGTGCCCCCCCCCCCAAGCCAGGCAGCAGCTGGCGACTGAGGAGACGCCGCCTGGGGAGGGGCCCAGCCGCCGGCGCCCCGCCGACCTCACGGCGTCTGTGCCCCCGCCAGGCCCTGCCCTACGTCGCCCTCCTGATCGTGATGCTGTTCTTTATCTACGCCGTCATCGGGATGCAGGTACGCCCGGCCCCCAGCCCGCATCCCCTGACACCCGCCCCTCCTTCTGAGGCTGGAAAGGTCACCGGAATTGGACCTCTCCCCCCAGCCCCGCGGTGTCCTGGGGGTGCACGGCTCTCAGACCCTCTCTCCCCGTTGCCCCTGGCCCAGGTTCCACTCTCTCTAGGGAAAAACTCCCTCGAGTTATGTAAAGGGCCTGTTTGTGAGTTATTCCTCAATAAAGTATTTTTTAAAGAGGAAAGAAAAATTGTCTCAAGAATCTGCAGCCAGAAAAAAAGGAAAAAGAAAGAGGAAGAGGCAGCGAGCCTGTCCCGCACAGACGCAGGGGCGGGGCACAGACGCAGGGGCGGGGCCTCAGCCTCCACCAGACGCAGGGGCGGGGCCTCGGCCTCCACCGCCTCTCAGCCCCCCTCCCGCTGGGCCCAGGGCCCCTCCCGAGGGCCGAGGGCACTTTTCTTCGATGCTTGTCCCGAGTGGGGTCCTGGGATCAGGGGCTGGACAGGGCAGCAGGTACCTGCCCCCGCGAGGCCTTCCAGGTCACAGAGGGGACTCTGTTCAGCTTATGGGCCAGCCCATCCAGGGTGAACTGTGACCCCTGAAGAGACCGTTGAACGATGGGTGGGAACCAGGACCCCTCTGTCCACAGCTCACGGACCCCGTCCTCTCCCCCTGCCAGGTGTTCGGGAAAATCGCCCTGAATGACACGACAGAGATCAACAGGAACAACAACTTCCAGACCTTCCCCCAGGCCGTGCTGCTGCTTTTCAGGTGAGCGTGCACACAGGTGCGGACAGGTGCACACGGGACGCCTGCCCGGCGCGGCCCTGGCCCGGGCGCACCACGAGAGCTGGGGCTGGGGGACCGGGAAGCCTTCCTCTCACTGTCGTTCATAACCACTGGACACGGCCCCTGCCGCTGACCCTGGAAGCCAGTAGGGGATCAGAATCGAACTCCAAGAGCACCCTGGTTCAAAGCTGAGCCAGGCCTGCAGCACACTCGCTGTGACCTTGAGTGACCTTGAGCGAGACAGCAGATGCCTCCGAGCCTCAGTTTCCTCCTCAGACAAGCCCAGCTGCCAGAGTTGGTGTCACTGTCTGTTTCAGTGGTTCCGTCCACAGCACTTAGTTCCCGCCTTGGCTGAGCCGGCACCAGCCTTCACCCTCTGGGGAGGCCGCGGCCACAGGTACAGCTGGGGAAGGAGTGTGTCCCGCCCGACCCCGAGGGAAGGAGTCCGTGCGGCAGCCCCGTGTCCTTCCTCCTCTGGATCCCAGTGACCCCCTGGGCTGGCCCTCCCCTGGCTCTTCTCACCATCCAGTTCGTCACAGCCTGGGCTCTGGGACCCCCACCTGGTCCAGGGCTGGTGGTGATGAGAACTGTTTACTCAGTCCCTGGACCAGATGATGCCTAGATTCCATTCCAGCGCCTGTACTCTCCATGCTAAGGTGCTGGGAGAGGCACTGAGCCCTTACCGGCCCCTGGGGTTCTTTCCGAAGATCCAGGAACCCTCCCCATCAGATAACCCCACCTTCACTATGCTCTGTGGAATCCTTTCCCCACACCCAAGCCCACAGATCATTATTGCTCAAAATGTGTTCAGTCAGAATGGCAGTCCCCTTACGTATCAGTCCGACATCACCCTCCCTCAGGTGGTAGCCGTGAGAACACGGGGCCATCATAAACCACAGCCTCCCAGCAACGTTTACGCCTGAGCCGCATTTAAATATGGGATTTGGACACACGTGAGCCAGGGCCCATGGGTCTCCCCTCTCCTTTCCTAAAGTCCTTGACGACAGGAGATAGTTTGTGAAAGAATAAGGAAGGATAAAAGCCAAGAAAGAGTGCCATTTTGAGCCAGCAATGCTGAGGAAGTCTTCAGCGGAGGCAAGCAGATGGGATTCAATGGACAAAGGACCAGGTTCGGAGGAAAACACATCCCAAAGCAGGTGAGCCTGTGAAGGAGCAAGAGCGGCCAGGGCCTCCCCAAGCTCAGGGTCCACAGGGGCCAGGCACCAGGACAGCTGGTGACCCACGTTTGGAGAGCGTTTGCTGATGCCCACAAGCTGAAAACAGAGCCCTGCCACCACAGCCTGGGCTTTGGGGTCTAAGAAGTAGAGCAGGGCCCCAAGGGAACCCACCCTTTAAGAGAAGCTACCTGTCCACCCCACCTGGCAGCACGTCTTGTCTTGTCTTCCATGGTCCCCAGAGATGCTCCTGCAACGAGAACTTGATCCACAGAGTTGTGTACTGGACTCTCGATCACAAAGAGCAGTAACAGTCACCCCAAAGTACTGGGGGAAAACCAATGTCAAAAGAGAAGTCACCACGCTCACCTAACAGATGAATGAACACATCAGGAGGAAAAGAATAGGGAGATGAAAAATATTTGAAAATAAGCATCATTTGTGTCTTTAGAGAGATTATAGAACCTGGCACATCTGTCAAATTAGAAAGGAGTGGGGGGAGGAGGAGAAGTCATTATTAATCAGAAAAAATTAACGAGAGAATTAATTAAATTTAATTAAAGAGAGAACTCAGAAAATATACAATTGTTAAAATATTTATTTATTTATTTTTGGCTGCACTGGGTCTTCACTGCTGCATGCGGGCTTTCTCCAGCTTTGACGAGTGGGGGCTACTCTTCGTTGTGGTGCACGGGCATAAAAAGTTAGGAATTAACCATAAAACCAGTAGTCCCTCCAAAAGCTGTTCACTTAAATGTTTAGAGCCACTCTCCTAACTGACTCACAGCTGAGGCTACAAACTACTCAGAAATGAGAATGTGAGCACACTATATCTTCCTTTTTTTTTTTTTTTTTTTAATGAGACCGCCTCGCCTGGGCCTGAGATTGTTTGGTTTATTTACTTATTTTTTTAAGATTTATTTATTATTTTTTTATTTATTTATTTTTGGCTGCTTTGAGTCTTAGTTGTGGCACGCGGGGTCTTTCGTTGTGGCACACAGGCTTCTCTCTAGTTGTGGCTTGCAGGTGTCTCTTCTCTAGTTGTGGCACGCAGGCCCCAGGGCGCGTTGGCTCTGTAGTTTGTGGCACACAGGCTCTAGTTGAGGTGCACGAGCTCAGTAGTTGTGGCGCACGGGCTTAGTTGCCCTGCGGCATGTGGGATCTTAGTTCCCTGACCAGGGATCAACCCCACATCCCCTGCATTGCAAGGAGGATTTTTTACCACTGGACCACCAGGGAAGTCCCACGCTATATCTTAAATTTATGAGATGCACCAGTAATCCAAAGGACAATTCAGAGCCAAAATTAACTTTTTTTTAAAATTTACAGCAAATGAACGAATAAATGGAAAAAGAATAGGAAAATAACCCCAAAGTGTGAAGGAATGCATTTATTAAAATAAAAGCAGAAATTAATAAAATATAAAACAAAAACATTCATCAATAAACCCTAAAACTGATTCTTTGAAAAGACCAATAAATAGACAAACTTTCATCAAATTCAATTTTTTTAAAAAGACACAACAGCAGGAATAAGAAAAGCAACATAATTATAGATGTGGAGTGATTTTTAGAATGATGAGAATATTATGAACAAATGAATGCCAATATATTTGAGTATCTAGATGAACTAGATGCTTTTATATAGGAAAAGAGAAATCACAAAAATTGTCTTGAGAAGAATATTTTTTTAATTAACCACAACAGAAATTGAAAAGGTGGTCAAAATTTTAGTCCTCTAGAAGGCTAGATCCAATATATTTATGTTTGCTATTTGCCAAAATATCAAAGAATAAATCATTCCTATGTTACATAAACTTTCCAGGAGTAAAAATGGGTAGGAAACCTCTTTCTGTAAGACTAACATACGGCTGATACCAATAAGAAAGGGAAGAAAGTAAGAAATAGAGATATAAAAATATGTAGACATGACTATCTTTGGTTACAAACAACAGGCTAATCCAACTAGAAAACCCAAGCAAAGCAACTCAAAAGCCTTTATAACAATTAAAAGGACCAGGAAGGTGACAATTAACAAAGGAAAACAATCACTTTCATGTACTGATAATGTACTAGTCTGAGCAGCCTACTGTAACACCATAAATGGAGTGGCTCAAACAGCAGACATTTCTTTCTCACATTTCTGGAGGCTGGAAGTCCAAAATCAAGGTTTCATGATTCTGTTCCTGGTGGGAGCCTCTTCCTGGCCTACAGACGGCGGCCTTATCACCGTGTCCCCGCTTCGTGGAGAGAGAGGAGAGCACCAGTCTCCCTTCCTGTTTTTATAAAGATGCTAATCTCATCATGAGGCCCCAGCCCCATGACCTGATCTAAACTTAAGTGCCTGCCAATGCTGTCATATTGAGGTTTGGGGCCACAACATACAAATTCTGAGGGGACTCATACATTCAGTCCGTAACAGGTAATAGCTGATCCATAAATATAATAAATGAGCTCATAAGCTATCACTTTTTCAACATGATACTGCAAGTTTTATCCAATGCAATAAGACGAGAAAAATAAACCAAAGGGTAAGAATTGGAGAAGAAGGAAAAATTAAATGCCAGAAAAATTGATTGCCAAACTCAACAACAAGAAAATAAACAATCCAATTTAAAAATGGGCAAAGGACTTGACATTCCTCAAAAAAAGATAAGTGAATGGCCAATGAACATAGGAAAAAATGTTCAAAATCACCAATCATCAGGGAAATACAAACCAAAACCACAATGGGATAGCACCCCACATCCATCAGGATGGCTGCTATCAGAAGAACAAGTGCTGATGAGAATGTGGAGAAATTGGAAGCTTTGTGCATTACGTGTAAGAACGTAAAATGATAACAGCCACTGTTGAAAACTGTACGACGGTTCCTCAAAATATTAACAATAGATTAAAAATACCATATGATCCAGCAATTCCAGGTGTGTGTATATACCTAAAAGAATTGAAAGCAGGGTCTCAAAGAAATATTTGTACACTTCTGTTCATGGCAGCATTATTCACAATAGCTAGAGCATGGAATCAACTGTAGGTCCATCAAAAGAATGGAAAAGGAAAACGTGGTTATACCACAGTGGAACATTATTCAGCCTTAAAAAGGAAGGAAATTCCAACACCTGCTTCAACATGGATGAAACTTGAGGCCATTATGCTCAGTGAAAGAAGTCATAAAAGGACAAGTTTTCTGTATGATTCCACTCACATGATGTACTTAGTCAAAATCATAGACACAAAGTATAATGGTGGGTGCCAGGCGTAGGGGGGAAGGGAGGAGAGTTACTGTTTAAGAGGCATAGATTTTCAGTTTTACGAGATGAAAAGAGTTCTGGAGATGGATGGTGGTGATGGTAGGACAGCACCGTGGGTGTGTTTATTGCCACCGAACTGTACACTAAAAATGGTTAAGACGGTCAATTTTATGTTGTGTGTATTTTACCACAATTTTAAAAAGAAAATATGTAAATAAAACATCTTTTAAAAAGCCGATTGCTATGTGACTATACAAGAGAAACCACAGAATAATAAGAGAGTTAAGCAGATCTTCTATATATAAAGTCAATAGTATTCTCTCCACATCTGTTGCAAACAGAAAATATAACTTTTTAAAGGTACCATTTATAATAGCAACATTTTATTTGTTTATTTTAAGTAAACTACCTAGAAAAAAGTCTAACGAAAGATGTATATAGGGAAATTATAAACTTTTATTAAAAGACATTTTAGAAGCCCTAAATAAATGGAGAGATGGATCGGGTTCATGGTTAGGAGACTTAATAGCAAAAAGATGTCAAATTCCTCTAGTTCATCTATATGTTGATGCAATTCCAGTAAGAGTCTCAGTGGGATTACTCATAGAACTTAACAAGCTGATTCTAATGTGTCTGTGGAATCGGAAAGGAAAAGGAAAGGGAAAAGCCAAGACGGCTTTGCAGGGCAGCAGGCTGGAAGCACTGGCTCTCTGTGTGAGATCAAGACTTGCTGCAAACCTGGAGTGATGAAGACGGCGTGGTGCACTGAAGTCAAGACAGACGAATAAGCCTACAGAACAGAACGGAGAGGCTGGCACAAGACTCACACACGCACGGAAACGTGATTTATGTCAAGAGCTATTTCACGCATGTAGGTAAAGGTGAACTGTTCAATAAATTGTATTAAGAAACTTGGTTATCTAGACAGAAAAAGATAACAGCATATTTCTACCTCGTATGGAGCCCCCATATAAATTCCATATTAATGGGTTATTACGGCAGAAGGACAATTATGATTTGACCACATTAAAACGTAAAACTTGGATCCATCACAATGCACCTTCAGTAAAGCTGGAAGCGAGCCACAGACTGGAAGACACTGCTTGCAGTGTGTATAACTGACGGAGGATTAACATAAAGAAAGCTTAAAGACCCTACAAATGAGCGGGAAGACAAATAGCCCATGAGACAGACGGGCAAAAACATGAACCTGAGATTCAGCAGATGAAATAGAATTTCTCAGCCTATTCATCACTTTAAAACCAAATTAAAACAACAGTGAGTTATCACTTTACACCCATCATATGAGCAACCTTTTTCATTTATTTATTTATTTTTGGCTGCGGCGGGTCTTCGTTGCTGTGCGCGGGCTTTCTCTAGTTGCAGCGAGCGGGGGCTACTCTTCGTTGCGGTGCGCGGGCTCCTCATTGCGGTGGCTTCTCTTGTTGCAGAGCACGGGCTCTAGGCGCGCGGGCTTCAATAGTTGTGGCACGCGGACTCAGTAGTTGTGGCTCGTGGGCTCTAGAGCGCAGGCTCAGTGGTTGTGGCGCATGGGCTTAGTTGCTCCGCGGCATATTCCCGGATCAGAGCTCTAACCCATGTCCCCTGCATTGGTAGGCGGATTCTTAACCACTGCGCCACCAGGGAAGTCCGAGCAACATTTTTTAAAATTCACTAATACCAAGAGTTGACTAGTCTAAATTCAGAATAGAAAAGTGGTTGGGGGGGTGGGGCATGGGATGGGGAGGGACTGGTAAAACGGCACAAACTGTCAGCCATAAGGTGGATGAGGTCTGAGGTCTAACCTATAACATGGTGACCATAGTCGATGACACTGATCGTATCACTGAAGCTTGCTAAGACAGTAGAATTTAAATGTTGTCGCCAAAGAAAAGAAAAGAGAAAATTTTAAAAATCTGTGAGGGGATGGATGTGTTAATCAGGTGGGAAGAATCCTTTCACAATGTGCACGTCGATCAAATCATCATGATCTACGCTCTAGCTTGCAGTGTTATTTGTCGATTCTGCCTCAATAAAGCTGAGGAAAGAGCTGCCGAGTCTGTAGGGCAGTGACGCCAGGAGCGCCAATTGGGGAACAAGCAGCGCTCAGTACGGTGAGGACACACCTGCCGTCCACCGGCAACTCCACCCCGAAGCAGGCGTCTGACGGCCCTGTGTGGTGACTGCAGGCTCCTTCGTGACAGCAAGACAGCAAAGAAAGGAAAAGCCTTAACAGGGCGGTGGGGCTTTTTAATGGTATACTCATAGAGGATCTGCCGCAAAGGATGAATGAACCAGAGCTAAAATGCATCCAAACGGCTAAATCTCAAAACTTCACATGGATTGCAAAAGGAGGGACTTTGCAGAAAAGGTACAGCTTGTTACCTTTCACAGAAAATTTTCGGACATTCAGAACAATGCTGTGTGTTTCCCCATGTAGTGGATGTGTCAGCACTGACTCAGTTCAGCGGTTCCCCGCCAGGGAGGAGAGGGAGGGGCCTTGTGAGCCGCTCTGGGGCGTGGTCTCTCACCAGGTGCGCCACCGGGGAGGCGTGGCAGGACATCATGCTGGCCTGCATGCCGGGCAAGAAGTGCGCCCCCGAGTCGGAGCCGGGCAGCAGCGCCGAGGGGGAGGCGCCCTGCGGCAGCAGCTTCGCTGTTTTCTACTTCATCAGCTTCTACATGCTCTGCGCCTTTCTGGTGAGCCGGGCGGGACCCGCGGCCTTGGGTGACCAACGCGCAGTCCCGGGCCAGCCGCGCCCTGCGTCTCTGCAGCTCACGCTCGGGGAGTGCCCCATCGGGGAGGCCGGCCTAGAGGGCTGTGTCCCTGGGACGGCCCAGCCGCACTGGAGGGAGGGGGCGGAGCTGGCCCAGAGTGAGCTCAGCCAGCATCCTTCTCGTCCGTTCTCAGCCCTTGTGGTGGTGGCGTCGTCCCCGAGGACAGGAGGCCCCTTAAACATTTCTGGCACTTTGACAAGGAGCAAGGGGAGGGTGGTGGACAGTCACCCCCCGTCCCTGGCAGCCCCGCCTGCCAGCTGGGTGTGAGGGAAGCTGCCAGCCCACAGGGGGGGTTCACCTGCCCAAACACAAGGGGAGCTGGGTCAGGTCCTCATCCAAGAGAGCCACGTTCCGGGGGCCGGTGTTTTCAGTGGTGCCACTTGGGCGTCTTCAGAAACACTGGCTTCTGCCGCGCGTGGCCTGCTAACCACGTGTGCTGGAAGGGCCTCCGAGGGCATCTCCCCGCGCTCTCCGTTCTCCACAGATCATCAACCTCTTCGTAGCTGTCATCATGGACAACTTCGACTACCTGACAAGGGACTGGTCCATTCTGGGTCCCCACCACCTGGACGAATTCAAGAGAATCTGGGCGGAGTATGATCCTGAAGCCAAGTAAGTCCCCAGGGGGAGCCCGATCCCCAATGATCCTGAAGCCAAGTAAGTCCCCAGGGGGAGCCCGATCCCCAAAGCCACAAGGGGATTGCGTGACCGCACCTGTGGAAGCGGGTCAAGACGGGTTAGCACGGGGTGGATCCACAGCAAACACTAACCTGCACAGGCCACAAGGGTCGAGGGTCAGGGCCAGCGACAGGAGGGCTTTGGCTGAGTCAAGAACACGCCTGCTGTTTTCAGCTGTACAGGAGAGGAGGGCCTAGTGTTGGAGTAACCAGTAGGGACTCGAGTCAGGATGTCCGGGGCCAGGCAGATCCTGCCTGCCTTTCTGCCGTAGGTCCATCAATCCAGCCACCACGTTTGGTTGACACTCTAGAAATACCGTTTGGTCAGACGGTTGGTTCACTGAAGCAGGAGTAATATTGAGAATTTCGTTGCCTACTAAAATCCCTTCCACCGTGAATATAGCACTGATGGAAAATTGCTCCTTAAAATCCTAAACACGTGTATATACTGGTTTTGGAGTTTTGCCGTGCAGTTCTGCAGCTCAGCACCAGTTTCATCACTCGGGTCCAGCCGTGGAGAGTTCCTTCTGCAGGGGGATCCCCCGCCCTGGGTGCATGAGTCCTGGGCTACTGGCCGAGACCGCCGCACTGACCTTCCCCCCGTTCCTGCCTCTTCTAGGGGTCGCATCAAACACCTGGATGTGGTGACCCTGCTCCGGAGGATTCAGCCCCCCCTGGGCTTTGGGAAGCTGTGCCCTCACCGCGTGGCTTGCAAAGTAAGAGATGAGCTGGGCTCGTAGGAGACACGACATGGGAGGGAAGATGCCTCTTGTGACCTTGGTCAGGACGTCAATCCTCTACGGGGATGAGGACAGTATTTTATGAGCCTAAAGAAAGGAGCCAGAGCCAGAATAGGCGTTAGGGGTCCTTCCCACAGTGCGTTCTCAGACTCTGAAGGAAACACGGCGTGACACACGCACACACATTTCGATGCCCCCCCCCACTTCGGCATCCTCCTGCCTCGGGGGTTCTGCGGGAGGGTCCTTCAGGAGCCGGCTGCTGTGATGACCAGCTCTGCTCCCCCACCAGCGCCTGGTCTCCATGAACATGCCCCTGAACAGCGACGGGACGGTCATGTTCAACGCCACCCTGTTTGCCCTGGTCCGGACGGCCCTGAGGATCAAAACGGAAGGTAAGGTCATCCGGGGGCCCCGGGAGAGCCACCGGGAGACCTAGTGGACCAGCCGGAGCCCAGCTCGGCTCCTGCGGGGTGTCAGAGCCTCAGCCCGGCAGTAACTGTCACCTCTGGGGCATTAGCGGTGCCAGGTCTGCTCGTGTGCCCTTTGCTCCTTGAATGGCCTCCTTGCCTGTAGTTTTTAGAGCTCATCCTGGGTGACACCTCAGGGTCCTTGGGTGTAGTTCAGAGAGCGGGAGATGAGTGTTACCTGAAGCGGGGCTGAGCCCCATCACAGTGGGATTTCACTGGCTGCAAGTGGGTCTCAAACGTTCAAGTCTCCTTGCAAGTTAAACTCCTGTGTCGGTCGGGAAGGGGTCAGAGCGGACGTGGTGACTGGGGCTGAGGTCGGCCCTCGCCCGCCTGCATGCAGGTGCTCAGCCAGCCGGCAGGTGGGGGTCAGAGCCCCCGTGCTCCTCATACGGGGCTCCCTCGGTGGGGGCCGTGCTCCCCCGTGTTGCCTGGCGGGAGGGACCGTCTTCCACGTTGTACGACAGGGACCCGTGGCCAGCAGCTTGGCTTCGATGACCCGCTATCCTCACAGCTGCAACGGCTGCAGGTGCACCTGACGAGATGCAGCTGCTTCCCCAAAGCTCCCAGCCTCCTCCTGCTATTCGCGGAGTTGGAGCTTGTTTGAGACGCTGAGTCCCAGCCCCAGCCCCGAACTCGGAACGTGCATCCTGCACCAGCCGCAGGGGATTCACGTGAGCAAAGTCTGAAACCCACCGGCACAGTAATTAGAGAAAACTCAGGTGGGACCGGCAGTGTTGCCTCCCCCTTCTGGCGTTTGGATCTCAGAGCCTCAGGAGGCTGGAGCCCTGGGCGGGGCAACAGGGGACTGGACCCTGATATCGTGTGACGGTCAGCGAGTCTCTCTCTGCCTCAGTTTCTTCGTTTGTAAAATGAGAAAGGTGGGGGGACGTGTGGCATTCAGTTCAGGGGACAAGCCAGGAGGTGCCTTCTCTCAGCTAAATCCTTTCAGAAAATAACAGAAACATCGTAGATGTAGGAAAACAACAGGGCCAGCAAGGTGCCTGTCAAAATAATGAGCTAATCTTAAAAAAAATTGTAAAAGTTCAAGTTCTGCTGCTGAACTAAAAAGAAACTAAGGCTGAAGAATACGCTCTCGGTAGCCAAGGCCGTAACTCAACCTGAAACGGGGGTAAACAGGCCTCTTTCTGCCGACAAAAGATGGAACACACATTTTGTGTAGGCGTGTGTGTGACCAGGGGGAAGCCTGGAGGGAAGTTCGCTAACACGTTAGCCTCGATTGTTGTGAGCGGTGGGATCAGACGCTTCTCTTCGCTTCCTTTACCTTCTTCCTTTACTTTTCCAAACTTTCCACAATGACTGTGGTTACGGTTCCTTCCAGGAGGGAAGGTTTTCTTTTTCAAGGAGGGAAGCTAGAAAGACTCCTGGAAGGAACGTGTTGTGGTCCTTAAGTTTTGATGTAAAGTGAGGAGATGAATCTTCATCCCGTGGAGGAACGAGAAGCGCTGACGTTGGAGCCAGGACTCGGCACCGTCAAGATGCTCGTCAGAGCAAACCAAGTCCCAGACAAAGACTCTTCAACCTTAGAGCCGGACACGCACAGCCCATCCTGAGGAAACACTCTCCTGAGACCAGGGGAGAAGCCAGCCACGCGGGGACCAGTCAAGCCAAGAATTAAAGGAAACTTCAAACACAGACACTTGTCCGCTGAGCAGCAACCGCCCCTGTAGCTCAGAATTCTGCATTGTTCACGTTAAGTCCTGCTAGATGGGTAGATCTCATGTTCCGTGTTCTTACCACCATAAAATACAATTTAAAACTGAAAAAAGGGCAACTTCCCTGACGGTCCAGTGGTTAAGACTCCGCACTTCCACTGCAGGGGGCACAGGCTCGATCCCTGGTCGGGGAACTAAGATCCCGCATGCCGCACGGCACGGCCAAAGAAAAGAAGAAACGAAAAAAAGGAATAGTTCCCAAAGGGCCCACAACATCAACTCGAGGCAAACCTTCATCAGAGACAAGCACCCTCCCCGCCTGCAACCAACGTGTTAAACTCTTAAGTCCGGGAGACAAAGGTGAGTTCTTAGAAGCAACTACAAAGAAACTGGAGAAAGCATCTAAATTCGGGAGACTAAGTGCCACGTGGTCCTCACCCTGCAGACTGTGAGCTGGGGTATTTGGAGAGAAATTAGCACCTGCTCAAGAGAACCAGCGATGTCCCAGGCCCCATCAACCCAGGATACGGAAGGAAGATGTCCTGAAACACTTAGATGGCATGAAGCAAGGGTTATGAAGTTAGAGGCTACATAGCTCACGGTGAGAATGAATTAAGGCTTGGAGAAAAGTGAGAGACCCTTTTGGAAGATGTGTCATTGCGCAGGTCTGTCGTAACAAATGATCACAAACTGGGGGCTTCAAACAACAGAAATTCATTCTCAGTCAGGCCAGAAGTCCGAAGGCGAGGTGCCAGCGGTCAGCGGGGTGGGCTCCTCTGGAGGCGCGGAGGGGTCCGTCCCGGCCTGTCCTGGTGGCTGGCAGTGTGGGCAGTGCTGGGCCCCCCAGGCACGTAGCTGGGTTTCTCCGCTCCCTGACTCCGTCTCCGCCCGCCCCCCGCTGTCTTCTCTGAGCGTCTCTCTGCATCCCCTCCTCCTATGAGGACACCAGTCACATCGGATGGATGTCGTCCCCTCCCCCAATGAGCACGCCCTCATCTCAGCTAATACACCTGCGAAGATTTCTACGTACAGGCCGCCTAAGGTTCCAGGTGGGTGTGAACATGGGGGCACCGTTGAGCCCGCCGCGGAAGACGAGTGTATCTGAGCATCGTGTCCATCAGGGCTCCCGCTACACGTGTGGGGACCCGCCGGCCACCTCCCCGGCACCGGCCTCTAAGCCCGCTGTGCTCGCCCGCTGCCGTGTCACCACCCACACAGCACCTCCCACTCTGAAGGTCTGGAGTCCAGCCATGGGGCCTCCAGGCCAGAACCAGACTGTTGACCCGGACGTGTCCTCTTCCCGGGGCTCGGGGAAGAGTCCACCTGCGACTTGCTCAGGCTGTCAGCAGAACTCGCTCGCTGCAGGTGCAGGACCAGCTCTCGGCTGTGCCCCGACGCCCCCCGAGCCCCGCACGCAGCCCTGCACCTGCCCTGCTCCCAGCCACGGAGGACCCTCTTGTCTTGGGCCCCCGTCCTGAATTACTTTTGTTTGTTTTTCGCTTTGTCTGATTTTTTATTGAGTCATAACTAACAGGTAACATTACATCCCTTTCAGATGAGCAACACAGTGACCCCGTATTTGTATTTATTGCGAAATGCTCACCACAAGTCTGGTTAACATCTGTCACCTCACAGTTACAATTTTTTTCTTGTGATGAGAACTTTTAAGATCTACTCTCTTAGCAACTTGCACACGTACAGTACAATATTGTTAACTGTAGTCCCCATGCTGTCATGCTGTACTTTACATCCTCAGGACATGTTTATTTTATAACTGGGGGTTTGCCCCTAAGGACCCTCTCCTTGTGAAGAGCTAATCCACTGCTGGGATTAGCTCAGGCCCCACTGGACAGCTTCCCCATCCTGAGGGCACATGTGCCGTATAACATAACCCGACCACAGGGTAAGGCCCCGAGTTCACGGTTCCAGGGGCCATGCAGGGCGCGTGCTTGGTGGTGGCGGGAGAGAGCTGGGGGCGTGTTAGACCCAGCCCCCCGGTCCTCTCTTACGGCTGCGGGTCTCAGCTTTCCTCTCCCAGGGCTGTAAGGCCAGTGTCCCAGAGGCGCACAGGGAGGCACCTAATTAAGCCTGTTTTGCCAGTGGAGAAAGGAGACCCAGAGAAGCCCCCAACCTCAGGACCCCCTGTCTTCTGGTTTCTGCTTCCACGCCAAGGTTTTGCCACCTCCTCCCAGCAGGAGACTCAGCAAAGGGCTTTGACACAGAGACCCCCGAGCATGGACGCTCCACGTGGGTCTGCGGAGGGACCACACTTCCTTCCAGTCGCCCACATTTCCCTGGCGGCCCAGGGGGAGCCCCTGTGGCCGTCCAGCTCGATCCAGCTCCAGCTGTCTCATGGGCCTCAGGGGCCCCCTCAAGGAGAAGGAGGGATACAGAGTGGGTGCAGGGTTGCCCTGGCGACCAAGCAGCAGGCAGGGAGGAAGGGGAGAGAGGCCAAGAGGGGACGGAGGCGGACAGCGGGAGCCCCGGGGGGAGGATGATGGGACTGACGGGCCAGAGCCATTGCAGGCAGAGCCCGCGGGCCGCGGCCACCACTCCCACAGCAGGACCAGCCCACGGGAGGCCCTCAGGGGCAGCTGGTCAGTCGGCCTTGCGTCTCCCTCCCCACAGGGAACCTGGAACAGGCCAACGAGGAGCTGCGGGCCATCATCAAGAAGATCTGGAAGCGGACCAGCATGAAGCTGCTGGACCAGGTGGTGCCGCCTGCGGGAGGTGAGTCACCCCACCCCGGGCGTAGGCGAGTCCTGAGTCCAGGCTGCGGGAGGCCTGCCCTTTCGGGCTGGAGCCTGGTCCAAGCCTGAGGTCACAGAGGAGGCCGAGCTAGGCCCCCCGATGCCTGGAGGTTTGGCAGAACTTCAAGGAAACTCTGCAAAGCAGAGCTTTCCCCAGAACCTGCCGGGCTGGGTGCTCTGGGAATGATGGGGTCCTGGAGAAGGAGCCCCCCGGGACGCCCCTTCCTGTTCCTCCCGGGGCAGTGTTTGTCGACTCTGTCAACTGTCCTCCGTATACAGTTGCCAAAGTATGGGCACAACACTTTAATGTGAAATCTGTTAAAATCAAATGTTTTTCTGTAAATAAATACTCAGGGGCCCAAATTTCTAGTTAACTGACCAAACGCTCGTCTGCACCCACTGTTATGAATAAGTTTGTGTTTAAAGGAAACAAACAGTGTTGACATTGTTGACATTTTGCGTTTGTCTTTTGGAAGTAAGGGCTTATGGACCATCTTTAAATAAGTACAGACAGCTCTGGGCACACACGTGGGGTAAGTGCAGGCTGATCGCGGGGTCCAGCCCCATGGGGATCACATTCACGGAGCGGTGCCGTCAGGGACACAGTTTTCTGAAAATGTGCACCCTTCCTGCTCAGGTTGAAACAAAACAAAGTGGTCTTCCATCCACTTAAACAGCAGGTATATTCCTGGGAAACTGGAATATCACAGCCGTGCAGGTCCCACGTGGAGCCGAGTGAGGGTCTTAGCTCAGGTGGTTATAGCGGGAGGTCCCCCCACAGACGTCTGGCGTGGCCTTGGCAGGGTGCAAAGGTAGTATTCACTGTGCTTTTCGGGACACGTCCAGAGCCACGTCATTCACGCCAGCAGCATCCCCAAAACATGGTGACAATCGCAGTGACACTGAGAAAGTCCTATACATTCCCAAAACACTCCTGCTGCCCCTGACAAGACCCACCCCCGAAAGGAAGGCAGGCCTGGGGACGGGCGCCACGCGGCCTGGCGCCACACGCACCGCGCCCCTCAATGCCCATCGCGGCTCTGTGGCGCCTGCTCTAGGAGCTGGTTCTCACCTGCTGAGTAGCTGACCCCAGGCTGGTGGTGAGCGCCCCGCGGATTCAGGACCAAGGGGGCCACACTTCCCGCCAGCGCCAGTCTTCCCTGATTCATGGCAGACAGGGCTCGGGCATCCCCTCCACGTGGGGCTGGGGCCCCTGCCGGCCGCACGGAAGGCAAGCAGCTGTGGGTTTGGCTAGTCTCACGAGACAGCTAGGAGCAGGGGAGCCATCACAGCCCCCAGATGCAACCCAAAAGCCTTCTCCAGGCCTTCCGCCCCCTCCTCCCTCAAGAAACGGAAGATGGGGGAGGGGGGGCTCCTCTTGGGGCAGGGACTGCTCCCCTCGGGGCGCCACTCGCTTCTCACCACCCACTTCGTTCCCAAGACGGAGGCTGATTCTGTCTTGTGTCACTTGGGGAGCAGCCCAGCCACGGGGTTAGAAAGCCCCAAAAAAGATGGGGGGCCTGCGCCCCTCCCACCTGCCCTTAAGCAGAACGCTAGCCCTTAGGGGCCTGGGCGATTATCATTGGGCACCCGGAGCTTCGGAATCTTAAAAGAGTTAATCCACAAGGTCAGTTAAGTAAAAAATGCAAGGTGGGAAATAAGTTTGACAACAGGCTACTTTTTCTGTGAAAAAAAGAGGGGGTAGGAATATATTTGCTTATTTGCAGGAAGCATTTGCATAAAGAATCTCTGGGGAAATAAGAAACGAAAAAGAAAGGTTATCTAATAGGAGGTGGGGGGAGAGACTCTTCACTGTACACACACCTTTTTGTATATTTTTGTCTTTTTGAACCACGTGCATGGAGAGCCTCTTCCAAAAAATTTAATTGAGAAAACTTAAGAAGGCGCGGAGGCTGAAGAAAGGCTCCTGAAGCCTGGCCACGCCCCCCGTTTACGCCCTGCTCACCCTGTCCTCCCTTTGCTCTCAGATGATGAGGTCACGGTGGGCAAGTTTTACGCTACTTTCCTGATCCAAGAGTATTTCCGGAAATTCAAGAAGCGCAAAGAGCAGGGCCTGGTGGGCAAGCCCTCCCAGAGGAACGCCCTGTCCCTGCAGGTGAGGGGTCCTCGCCCCCCCGGGGAGCCTGGCACCCTCCTCTCGCCTCTGCCAGGTCCGGGGCTCTCACGGGCTGGCTGGAGGCGGGTCCCTTCCTGAGGGCCCTGAGCCTTCCCCAAGGTGGATGCTGCAGGGTTGACCCTCCCCTCCTGTGGCCTCGCAGCCCGCAGAGCTCGGGGAGTTGGCCGGGGGGGGGGGGGTCTGCTGACGCCCCCGAAACAGCCCCTGCCAACATGCCTTCATGCCCTGTGGGCCTCCGGAGGCTGGCCTGCTGCGGGGAGAGGCACAGGGGCGGATGGGTGGCAGGTGGGGCACCAGGGCCCTCACACATCATCCCCCTGGGCTCCAGGCTGGTCTGCGCACCCTGCATGACCTCGGGCCCGAGATCCGCCGGGCCATCTCCGGGGACCTGACCGCCGAGGAGGAGCTGGACAAGGCCATGAAGGAGGCTGTGTCCACGGCCTCGGAAGATGACATCTTCAGGGTAGGGGGGTGCCCCGGCCGCGGTCTTCCGCCTCCGTAAAGCTGGGTTTGGAGCAGAAGGGTGGGCTGGCGTCCTGAATCCAGGGAGGAAGCCCTGAGTCTTCGGCAGGATCCCAGCTCCCCGCCCCCAGCCCTCCCCCAAGCCCTCCCCCAGCCCTCCCCCCAGCCCTCCCCCAGCCCTCCACCTCATCCAAGCCTAGTAGTCCTTCCCAAGCCGGGGCTCCCCGGAGCCGGCAGCTCACAGAGCATCACTGGCCCTCGGAGAAGGCGTGAGGGAGCTGTTTTGCTAAGGAAATGTTTTTTAGGAGACGTTTCTACATTACACGTTGCAAAGTGCTGGCCTCTGTGCCACGTCGAATCCACAGCCTATTTTGTTTGCCAACATTTGAAAATCTGGCTCATTCAATAAAAATCTAGACTTCTATCCTCTCCTGAAAAAACCAGAAGATGTGCGGTAGCAGGCAGCAGAGGTCTGGAAGCCAGTGGCAATCTTGACTTAGACCATGAGGTCTCCAGGCCCCAAAGCCCCCTCCGGCCTCCTCTCTCCCCTCCTGGATACCGAGGCTGCCGTCAGTTTTATACATTTTTTTAAATTTTATTTAATTTTTTTTTATCTATTTTATAAATTTATTTATTTTGGCTGCGTTGGGTCTTCGTTGCTGCGCGCGGACTTTCTCTAGTTGCGGCGAGTGGGAGCTGCTCTTCATTGCAGTGCGCGGGCTTTTCATTGCTGTGGCTTCTCTCGTTGCGGAGCACGGGCTCTAGGCGCACAGGCTTCAGTAGTTGTGGCACGTAGTCTCAGTAGTTGTGTCTCATGGGCTCTAGAGCGCAGGCTCAGTAGTTGGGGCGCATGGGCTTAGTTGCTCCGCGGCATGTGGGATCTTCCCGGACCAGGGCTTGAACCCGTGTTCCCTGCACTGGCAGGCAGGTTCCTAACCACTGCGCCACCAGGTGAGCCCCTGCCATCAGTTTTAACAGTGAAAACTAGTGCCCACTGGAATTCTGGGGCCCTTGCACCCAGCTCTCTTCATGAATCCCCAAGGCATTTGGCTAAAAATCCTATAGCAAGTGAGACACTACCACCCAGAACTGCGCTAGGGCCTCTCACCCCGCCTCCCGGCCCCAGCAGGCTCCCAGGCGGTGGAAGCATGGGGGTGAGAGGAGCCCATCACCCTGAGGCTGTCTTGTCCTCACCACCCTCCTCCTTGTCACTGTGAAACGTCCGTCACTGAATGGCCTCGGGGACACACTAGCATGTCAGTGTGACCCCAAGAGACCCCCCAGCCTTGCAGGCAGCTACTTGCCCACTTGCCCGGGACAAGGGGGGGAAGTCGGGGGAAAACACTGGTTCCTGATTTGAAATCTAAGACTCTCCCAGGGGAAAGGAGGCCAGAGTGTAATTGGTGTAGTAACTAAGCCCTTCTTATTCTCAGAACCGTTTGGCCAACGTAGCTCCTAGCTCAGTGAGCCAGTTGGATTCTTTTTTTAAATCCCATTAGAACCTTTGGGCCCTGTTTTCCACCCCTCGGCCCTCACATGCCCCACTGCTGCAGTGAAGGGTCTCCACCTGAGACTCGGCCACGTGTTGCTCGGCGGGGCTGAGCTCCCGGTGGAGAAGGTGAGGCGGCCGTGGGCGGGCCACCCCCCCCCCCCCCCATACCCCTCCGTCTCGCCTGCAGAGGGCCGGCGGCCTGTTCGGCAACCACGTGGGCTACTACCCCAGCGACAGCCGGAGCACCTTCCCCCAGACCTTCACCACCCAGCGCCCTCTGCACATCAGCAAGGCGGGCACCAGCCAGGGTGGCGCGGAGTCGCCCTCCCACGAGAAGCTGGTGGACTCCACCTTCACCCCCAGCAGCTACTCGTCCATGGGTTCCAACGCCAACATCAACAACGCCAACAACACCGCCCTGGGCCGCTGCCCCTGCCCTGCCGGCCAGCCCGGTGCTGTCAGCGTCAGCACCGTGGAGGGCCGTGGGCCCCCCTTGTCCCCTGCTGTCCAGGTGCAGGGGGCCTCGTGGAGGCTCAGCTCCAAGAGGTGAGCAAGGGGTTGCACGGGAGGGGCTTGGGGAGGAGCATTTGACCCCTCAGTCCTCCAGCTGGGGTGGAGGCTGCTGCCCAGACCCCAGCCAGAGGGCGGCCAACGCAGCCTCCCGGGTCCTGCAGCCGTTCTCGGGAGGCCCCGTGACACCTGACCGGCAGGTGTCCCGAGGTGCGCACCTCTGGACGGGGCCTTCTCTGCTTTCTCCCCCGAAGCAGAGAGGCCCTGGCCCCGATGCCCGAGATGTTTGCATCCTGGAGACACCACCGTCTCCGTCCCCTGGGCCTTTCTCAAGTCTCTGCCCAAACCTGGCCTTGGGCCCCCAGGGGATGGGGCAGGCCCACCCCGTCTTCTTAGTGCCCTTCTCGTCCCTGGGAGGAGGCATTCTGGAGGCAGGAGGCCCTTCGCTGGGTGCTTGCCTGCTCTGACCCCACGCGGGATCATTCCTGGCAGTCCTGACGTCTCCCGGCTCCTGTCCCTTTCTTTTCTCCCACCCGCTGCTCCCTGGTGCCCCAGGACCCACTGCCATGATGTGCTGGGGCGGTCGGCACCTACTTCCACGCCCTGGGCTTCGGCAAGTGCCTCACTTATATCAGCAGCTCCAGGCTCCCAGGCCCGGGAGGATCTGAACACTTCACCCTTAGCTGAGCTGCCCCTCCGAGCGGGACAGCAGCCCCCAGCAGCCCCGTTTCTGGGGCAGACCTCCTTTCCTCCCCTCCAGCTCAGATCCAGAAGTGATCTTTTCTAAATCCCTGGACAAGTGTCCTGAGCTGCGTTCATCCCAGAGGCCAGCTCCCGGCCTCCCGGTGTTCACGTCCCTTCGTCACGCCCGCGTTAGCCAAGGTTCCAGCCCGGGCCGTGTCCCGCCCATCGCAGCTCACGGCTGAGTGCGGTGGCGCCAGCTCTGGCCTCAGGTCCTGCACACGGCGGCCCGCGGGGGGTGTCCCCAGCCCACGTCGCGCCCCTCCCACGCCAGCAAGAGCGTGCAGCGTCTCCCGTGTCAGTCACCGGGGGCAGGGCACCATCGGTCAGGGCCTCCGCCAGAGATCCGCCCAGACCCTCCCCGAGTGGCTCACAGGCGCAGGGTCAAAGCTGGCCACTGACCCCGCACTCAGATCTGAGAGGATAAGCTGGAATATCTCCCAGAGGCCCTGGGAGCCTGAGCATAAAGTGGGCCCCAGCACCCAGGACCTACAGAAAGAAAGGTGGAGGGAGACACCGAGCAGGACACAGACAGGAAGGGAGGACAGAGACCAGAGCGAAAGGCCACGTGACCAAGTGAGCAGTAGACCAGGGCCTGGAGAGCGAGAAGCTCAGTCTGAGGCACATTCTGGTGTAGAAGGTCTGCAGCTCAGGGGGACTCAGGCTCGGGGGGCTCAGGCTCACTCCCCACTGCTCAGAAGAACGAACCCCTTTGTGAGGCCTCTCCTCTGTGCTTTGCTCTAAGGAGTCAACACCAAATCAAAAGCGTGTCACGTACGACACCAGGAAGTCCTCAGCTCTGCCCAGCAAATGCCCACAAGCCCGGCTGTCTGCAGCACAGGGAAGGGACCACCCCCTCGCTGGTCCCCCCCCCAATAGTGCGGCCGGCCCTGAGCCGGGCAGGCAGACGGTGTTACTGGTGGGGACACTAGTCATGGGTGGGCTACATGACTTACCCCAGAGTGTAACTGAACCGGGTCAGAATCAGATCCCCTAGGATCCTAACCCGGAGGCCCTTCCCCCCCCATGGAACCCTTATGGTAACACTTCTCGGCTCCATCGGTGGTCG